TAAATGATTTTCTCCAGTTTCTTAAAAGTAGCTTTGTAGTACTTTTTCTACTTACTTAAAAATAACACTCACATGGTGAGTCATGTATGACTTACTGCTTTATTTGTTGTTGGATCTGAGGACAAAGGAGGAGAATATGTGAACCTAAGATAGACAAAAAACCTTTAAAATAGACAAATTGGAAATTACATGGAAGGCAAATATTGTGTGTGATTTGGGTGAGTTTGCCCTGCAGCTGTAATGACTCCGGTAGTTCTGATGCTTTGTAGCACGGGTCATGGATACTCGAAGAAGAAAAACGAAACAAAACTGTATGGACGGTAGAAAATGGAGCATGTTTTCAGAGGCGATCTGTAAATTTAATGTATTCTTATGAAGACTGGATAAAATTTGAAGTTATAAAAAATTGAAAAAACTGCTAGAAATCTCTCGAGACATGAATAAATAGAACGCCAACCTTGAACCAAGAAAAACAGGAAGAAATCATCAGCCGTTTCACCCGTAGGCAAAAAATTTGCTTCAAAGTTTCTTCCCTGGCCCAAAGCAAAACTAATTTAAATCCATGTTTTTAAGTTAATCTGCTAATGAATACTGAATTTAGAACAGAAAACCTCCCTAACAGAGGCAGTATTTATTGTACATCTATGTGAATTCTTTCTATATTTATAATAAACACTGACTTCAAGTTAAAGTGTAAGAATATTTAGCAGATAAATGGTTTCTTCAAACTTAACTTTTTAACTGTAAGTCATTTTTTTCACAAGTTTAAGCTTGTAAAATGCAATTTTTTGACATCTAACTACATAACTTTGGGATTTGGACTCGCGGTAAACACTGGGTATGTCTGCTTTTTTGTTGATGCTTGTTTGGTTCCAGCTGTTCAGATAATGAGTGTTTGCTTTAACCCTAAGAAGTCTTTAAAATTAACCTTCCCTTCCCTCAAATTAACCCTCACATTTATACTCATGTCTAAAAGTAAACAAACCATGGCAAAAAACTGTGTCCATTATTACATTTGCAGGGTTTATAATGAGCGTACAGACAAATGAACTGTGGTTGTTCAGATCAGAGAGCCTTTGGCTTTCCCTCGTGAACACCAGCCTGAACAGATGGATGCACATTTCTTTCTGACACGGGATTTGTTTTAAAAATCCATATTTGTGTGATCTTGCTTTGACACACAAAACATATAAACAATAGGCTTTTTAGAAAGTGTTTTTCATCTAGAAACAAATGCATCCTGACATATTTGGGCACACAGCCCCGTTGTGGACTCTGACATTACAAAACCCCTCTCCCTTTTTGTGTTTGGCAGAGCTCAGCCATTTTCCATTCTTGCTTTAACATGCAAAATTGATTCATGAAACACTTTAATGCACCGAAGCATTTGATTTTATTGTTTCTGCCATGCTCTTTTAAGTACTTGTGCAACCTTGTCTTTGTGTGGCTTCCCGCTCTACCAAGGCAATCAGTGTGTTTACATAGAGTTTCTGATGCACTATGGCTGACCTGCCGGCAATTTCCGATTCCTAAATATCTGTTAAACGAACTAAGACTGAACTGAGGCTGAACTCCAGCCTGCAGCAGCTCCGAGAAGACAAAAAGGCGTGAAGAATACTAATTTACGTAAACCAGAAGTAACCCTTTTGGAAAACAGATAACTCTGAAAATGTAACTGCTCCTTATCTCTGAATTTAAACAAAACTGGATGTCCCTGTGAGTATAATTCCCTCAGTGTGCCCATTAATCATTCTTTCTTTTAACTTTGATGCATTTCTAAAGTAGAATATTATCTCTTTCCTTTAACCTTCATCCCTCAGACCCTGGAGGAAAACGCTTTTTTAATCATGTCTCACAGATGCTTCTATCGTACCAATTTTTACGACTAATGATTTCATATCATTGGTTTCTTTTGCCATTTGGTGCTTTCTAAAAATGAACTGATGTATTGAGATTCTTGGGGACACTCAATTATATATATGCAGTTTTAAAAAAAATGCTACCGTGTCTCCTGATTCAATGTATCCTACAGGATCAAAGGAGGACTGGCACACTATCATCAGGAGGCAGACACAGATGCAGCAGGCACACATTTTCTCGTGCTCTGTGGAAGATGACGCCCTATAGCATTAAAGCTCTACGTAAACAACATTCACGCCACCTTATCTACACATCAATAAAATGATTTTAAATCATATATGTTACCCTAATTGTTACAGGTGGCGATAGTATTCATCGTACTCTGTTAAGTAAATTTTTAAAAACTTGAGAGTAAAAGCTCTTCATTGACAATTAAAGAGAAAAAAACTGAAATATCGAAAAGTGTGAAATCACACAGACTCTCGGTGAGTTCAAAGGTTCATTACAGCCACTGTAATGGTGTTAGATTTTCTTAAAAGCACTGATGCCTAGTAAAACCTGACCAGTGAGCTAAATCGGGTTTCGAGAGGATTTTTTTCAGCTGCTGTGGTGTGACTCCTTCTCTGTTCAAGCTGTTGTAATCATCTGAGACTGAATAGGGGAACATTTCTGTCGATAGTGCATGTTGCACAGATGTCAGCATCTCACCAGGCCACTGTACAATTGATCCAGCTTGATTTTCTTCAGGTTTTTTTTTCTGTAGGAGTTGTGTAGGTGCCTGTGAGCTTTGGACTATATGGCTGCCCTTTTCACAAATTTTGCTTATAACATTCATGGACAAAATCTCGTTGCACAGTCAGTGGATGGATCGAATATGTCCAACTAGTGGGCTTCAGATTTGCGCTCCTGTTGAGCGGTGCCCTCGAGCGTGTAGTGGGACAGCAATGTAGCTGAGATGAGAATTGCCAGTTTTGAAGCCATGATTCTCAGGCAAACAGGTGGATTGCCTGCTCCAGGCCTCATATGGAGAAGTCAAGCATCTCAGTTCTTGTTCATGGTCAGGAATGACAGGCTGTTTGATGTCATTTCTGCAGCCATGCTCACCGTCCTGGTCTCTTTTGGTGAAGTGGGAGCAAAGTTAATTGGTGGATCATCTTCTGTTCTAACCACACCTATGTCCAAGAGAAACACTGAACTGACTGAACCTTCTCAGAAGAATGTCCCAGCATACCTCTAGAGACCAGCTGAGGAGCTCAGTCAGTTGTTTGGGAGCGGCTCAGGGCAGAGCTGCTGTTCCTGCAATACAGGAACAAGTTAAAGAGGTTCGGGCATCTGTCCAGGATGCCTCCTGGACGGATCTCAGGTGAAGTGTTTTGGGCATGTCCAACTGGAGGGGAGACCTCAGGGCAGACCCAGGAAATGCAGGATGGATTATGTTTCTTGGCTGAGGTGATTGCCTAAGTTTCCCCCAGGATGAGCTGTAGGCAGCGGCAGGGAGAGAGAGGGCAGCACAACTTACTGCTGTCTGGGATAAATGTTAGAAAAGCTATGGATGGATGTCAGATCTTATTCTTGTATTCTTATTATTATTTTAAATTCTCCAAAAGAATTTCTCAGATAAATAAAGAATAACTCATTGTATCTTACAGAGTTCAGAATGTCCTTAAAGACGACTCAGAGGTAACTTTCTACCCATCACAATAAATTACACATTGAAGAACTACTACTGCCATAGAGAACAGCAGATTAACAAGCTCAGAAACACAAAGTAAAAACAATATCTATTGGAATAAGTGTGCAGATAAGGAGGTAATTAAATGTCTCATTTTTAAACTTAAATAATTATATTCTAGTCTAGCAGTTTTTATTGGCTTGCTCAAAGGGGGTCATACGTTTTGGGCTGTTTTCTGTTGCTGTGATTTATTTGCTATATAAACAAAATTGAATTTAATTGGCTGGATGTGACTGGACTCACCGCTGCTGGGATAGATCTTATTTGCAAAAATCAAATAAATAAAGAAACATCCTGATACATTTTGGCACACAGCCTACTTGTTGGCTTTAATTCTACAGTCTAGATGCTTTCTTTTGTTCAGGAGAGCACAGCATTTTTCTTCTTTAGTCATTAAACACTTGAATGCACTGAAGTATTTGATCTTAGAAAATATGGTCATGTTTTTAGCTTCAGTGTGGTCAACAACATGCTTCTCAGAAGTCTGTCTACAACCTTTAAGCTCTTCTGTTTTACATAATTAGCTGTAAATATCATGAATGATGCTCACGTTTATAGACCAAATATTAAAATAATCAAACCCAAACTGCATTGTAACTCTATTCTTATGATTCTTCTGTTTTATTCAATTGTTGATCATTATTGTCTTTATTCTTTTATTTTCTAACAATCACATGTTATTAAGCTGTCTAGACAGCTCTTATTATCCAAAACTCTGGATCAGAGTGAGAAATTTCAAAGAAAAATGGATGTTTCAACACGATAGTTAGTACAAATATGTTTGTTTGGCTTTACCACTTTCGTTCCTAACCTTAACCAATAACCATGTCAGTAATTTGGTATGATCTTTATGTCTTAATGTTCTAACCTTCTTATCAACGCATTTTGCTTAAGGCTAATTGTTAGCATGCTAACAAGTTAAATTAAAGTGAAGGACTTTTATCCTCTAAGGATCTACATGTAAGCAATCAGAGAACTGCTATTTCCATCTGCAGTAATTTATAACTGCCCATTTTCCAGGACCTTTTTTTCTGCATATTAAAGGGTGGGGACCCTTTAATATGCAGAAATTAAAGGCATAGGACATTTAAAACCCCAGCACAGAACAAAGAAGGCATCAGTGACAGCATATGTGACATCGATTAACTCAGGAATAGTAGTAAGAGAAGGATCTGGTGCGTATGTGGGTTGCAAAGCGGCTTACAGAGATGTAACGCCATTATTTCAGCTGAGGTTGCAGATGCCTGAACTCAAACTATCCTCAGTTTTCATTCCCAGCAACTCTTCTTCTGATCCTCTGTTTCCTGCGTGATGCCCTTGTAAAACACATTAAGTGTCCTTGCTGTTCACCGGTGATACGCAAACAGGCTTGTCTTGCTCATCCGTACCACAAAAACACCCCAGCCGCTGCAAAACAATGTTTTCATTTAATCATTTCACATTAAAAACACACACTGTATGCTGCATCACAAAATGAGAAAACGCTGTCCTCCAATAACAACTGAAGCTGACGTAGACAGAAGAAACAGCCAGTGTCGGTGCCGGCGAGAGAAGAGACACGTTTATGTTTCCCCCTGCAGGGTAGCTGAGGACTGTGTTCGTCTGAAGCCACAACATGAGATACACACAGACAGCAGGTTGAGCCACAGATGGAAATCATAATTCAAACAGTCTAACAAAGCACTTGAATTCATTCCTACCTGTAATGTATATTACCATGATGACAGAGACCAAGCCAGGATGATCATGGGCTAGAAATAAAAAAAAAAAAACCCAAACAAACAAACCCAAAAAACTCAGATACACTAAATCTTCCGAGTAGTATCACAAAAGCTTTTGGTGTGAAGCCACGATGTACTATGTAATGGTTGCTTTTGAGTACACTCAAGGTTCAGCTAAACCCGTACTGAAAAGCATGGGTCTTTCATTTTTAGCACGACATTCAACTACCTCAATAACATACTGGCCTACTTAGAACTGCTGAATGAGTAATATTCTTAAAGAAACGTGACATATATGCAGTCAATTGTGGACCTGGAGTTGACGTTTCACCAAAGTTCTTTTGAATAAGAGTTGCTTCAGGCATCTCTGCGTGGTACCCGTTTTTATGAAAGCCATAGAGAGAAAATAAAACACAATTATTTACACCATAACACAGCAGACCCTGTATCCTAACAAACATCCTGGCCAAATACTCCTCATGGTGCTTTTGTAATCATTTTTATAATCATGAAAATGGTTTAAAATTGTTAAGCTTGGGGATTTCTTTTGGCCGAGGACAAAACGATGCCATTCTTGATAAAATGGTAATAGCTGTCCAAAATTTCACCCTGACATTCTCTTAATGAAATAATGGTTTAACAACTCCCTGGCCGTATTCATTTACTGCAGTGCTTTGTACAAGGCTTGCTGTCTGGCAGGCAAATAAATCCTCTGGTGAAGTGCAGCAGCCAGAAGCAAGTCCTTTATTCACATAAATTAAATGTAAGCATACGGCATCCCTTTAAAGATGCCTGTAAAGAAGGGCTTAGCACTGCACGCAACAAACTTGCCTTCGAGTAAAATCGTTAAACAGAAACTGAAAGGTGAAAAGAATATGCAAAATGTGGGCTCCTAAATGTTCACACTGTTTTCAATAAACAAAGCAAAAAATATTACGTTTTTTTTCTCCCTCACACTTCACCAACTCCTACTACAAAGATAATTAGCTGCATATTAAAGAAATGATAAACTGCTCATTAGAATAGATTTCAGAGACGGTTTGGTCACAACCTGAACTATGATTTTAAACAACCATACGCTCAATCTGTACATTCGAAGTTCAATATCTCACCTGGGCCCTTGTTACAGGCCTGTGCTGCAGATGGGGGGCGGGGCAAATGGCGCACATATAGAGTAAAGCAACACTGCAGTCCAACGTATGCATCAGCAAAGAGAGCAAGAGAGATCGACGCATGCAGTTTGGACAGTCGAAACCAATTTTTGTACAGTTCGTTTGGCAGTGAGCAACATATTTGTGTTATTTTACATAAATATGCTGCACAGGGATGAGTCCCTTTTATGGGTTATTGTCCCACCCAGTCACATTTTTTGTGTGTGCGTGCATGTGGAGACTCAGACCCCACTGCGGGTTTGGCACAGCAGAGGCCACCCTCCCATTGCAGGGTGACAAAAAGTGCTGATAAGTCCAGCTGACAGCTCCTTCATCCCTATTAGTGCCTCAGACGGGGGGAGGGGTGTAACAGAGCAAAGCGCTGTCCTTAGACCAACCAGTGTTCTTGTCCTTGTCTCCTCCCCCCCCTTTTTAAGGTCCTGCAGGATGCTGTAGCGAAGGATGTAGCGCCACCTAGTGGAGGCAGCCGCTGGATATGTGTTGCTCTGAGGGGAAGGGAGACGGGCTTCAGCAAGCAATCTCCTCCAGGGTGCCCAGCGTTGTCTGCAAGGGGACAGTCACAGTGTGGCTGATGGACTCTGAGTGGTTTGCCACAGGGTCACAGGAACTCTGGGGAAAAGAGTGAAAGGCCAAGGGCTAGGTCACATTATAAAGTGGCAAGATCCTACAGGTAGTATTTAGAATGACCAAACTTCCACCTGAACTCTGAAAACTGTATAAGTATGCAAGGTCTGTTCAAAAGGTTTTTACTTGACCAATAAGATGCACAAACCCTCACTGGCTTAATGTGTTTTCATTTCCTTAATCTGAATTCAGGAAAACAAAACAAATGATAAATCTGAGGTTATTGTACTCGGCCCTAAAAATCTTAGAAACATGGTGTCTAACCTAATACTAACTCAGGATAAAAACAATTAGTGATGCTATAAAAAGTTGCTTACTGCATTTATTACTTAGGTTGGACTATTGTAAATATCAAGTTGTTCTAAAAGCTCCCTCAAAAGCCTTCAGTTGATCCAGAACGCTGCAGCGAGAGTACCGATAGGGACTAGAAAGAGAGAGCATATTTCCCCTATACTGGCTTTGCTTCATTGGCTCCCTGTTAGTTCAGAATCAAATTTAAAACCCTTCTTCTCACATTCAAGGTCTTGAATAATCATGTGCTAGCTTATCTTGAAGTCCTCATAGTACCATATCACCCCAACAGAGCATGTTGCTCTCTTTAAAAATAGTTTGGGAGGGCTCCCAGTTTGGATTTGGGAGACACGATGTAATGCATCTAGGCTGCTGGGAAATTTGCATGATGCACTGTGAAGTGCAGAAGTTCACCACTTTTCATTTTTTGTGCATTTATATACTACTTTGCATTTACTCATCAGCTATCATTAAAGTCTGGCTCTCTCTTTATAGTATGTATTTTGTCCTGTCTCTCTCTGCTCTCTTCTCTTTCCATCATCCCCAACTGAGTGTAGTAGATGGCTGCCTCCTCCTGAGCCTGGTTCTTCTGGAGGGTTTTTTCCTATGTAATGAACCCTCTTGATGTGAGGGGAAAAGTGCTAACCTCTGCACTCACATAACTGGGAGTGCTAACCAGTAGACCAGCTAATTATTCCATTATTAAAACTGAAACTCAGTCATGACTGGATAACTTTGTTAGCATAGGAGATATGGATATACACATGAGCAATTTTTTCAGTTTTAATAAAGTGCAGCAAAACAAACAATAATAAATACACAAAAACTAAATAATAATAATAATAATAATAATAACAAAATCAATTAGCAAACAAAAAGCAATGTCTAATAAGCTGCTACTGAAAGCTGATAATTCTCACTGACTACTCTGCAGATATCCTCCTTTAAATTTATATTAAATTAGGGCACAGTTTGACAGTTCTGTCCATCAACATTATGGTACTCCTTATACTGTCGCTGACATTAGTAACACTAAAGACAGTGGTTGTTGCTGCTTGGTTTCATCAAGACATCTCTTTTGGAGCTAAGCTTTCCTGCCAAATTGCCATGACATGGTCAGAACACAGTCTTAGTCTTGCTTGGGTGGCCTTTCTACATGCTTGTGTGGAGGAGCAGGAATAGTGCACGGTTTGATATGCATGATCGGAGTGAGTGAAATTATACCAGATTTACATGCTCCACTTCCAAAGAGCTCTCAGTGAAGACGACTAACAAGAAAAAGTGTAAAGGTCACTCTTACCACGTCCTCTCCATGACTCTCCTCCTCCTCCTCTCTGCTTAGTAAGTCCAGTAGTCTGTCTTTCACCACCTGCAGATCAGAAAATAAAAATCAGAAACACTTAATTCCAACTGTTAGAGAAGATCTCTGAGAGCTCTTCTTGTAATTACTGACTGTAAAGAAACATTTGGTTCCAAGGCAAAAACGTAATTAGGTGGGAAATGTGGCAACAAAGTACGACATTACAATAAGCTCAGCGTGAAAGCAACAGCTTTCATGTTGAAAAAAGTTGCTTTAGAAATGCTTATGTCAGCGACATGAGGCCTTCTTATCCCCATAACCCCATAATATGGTCATTAAAATGAAGGAAAAATTCTTCAAAATGACTTTTTCTGTGTATCTGTAAAACCCTAGGGCAGGCGAAGACTGTTATGTGCTTATCAGACCCCCGTGAAGCTGAAAGCAGCATGAGAAGCTCTAAAAAAAGGCACACAATAGAGTAAAGGTAATGGAAAAGTATCATCCCACGGTCCTTTATCTCAGCCAGAACCAGAGTGAATTTAGCTTTTGATCTGCTTTTTGTATCTGTGACATTGATTCTGTTGTCACCATTCACGATCAGAGCTCTACCAAAAATCAAAAAACAAAAATTATTAAACTCTATTGAGAGCAGGGCTGGTGTTCAGGATTTATTAGTCATTTCAACAGGTATATATGACAGTAAGAAATTTGAAACAGACCTCATACGCGTAGTCAAACAGCTCTAAGATGGTGAGGATGCTGGCTCCAATGAACAAACCCATCTGGCCACCAATATCACCTGTGGAAGGACAGAAGTACAGTACAGACACACCAAGAGAAATACAAAGCGAAGACACTCTTTTGTTTTTCTGGAAAGATCTTTGTGTCATGGTCAGGGGAAAGACTTGATTTGATTTACTTGCAACACGTAGGCACAGATAACGGGGACAGACAGGCAGAAAGAGAGACAATTTTTTTTTCATTGTGAAAACAGCCTGGCGTTATAAATTGCAAGAGGCGTGTTGCTACTGGTGAAATAAAGGATGTGACCCAGAAAGTCGAGCGACACTGACAGATCCATGGTTTTGATGGCTCATCAGATGGTGCTGCAGTTTGTTGGACCAAACTGATGCAAAAGATATGTTAGGTCTTGAAAGGTCATTGAAATGACTAAAAAATTGCACTTTTTAGTGCATTTATTGCCTTTTAGAAAGTAGAAAAAGTAGAAAGGGATCATTTAATTTGGAAATAGTCTATCAGAAAGCTCTGCACCAATTCTGAAGCTGCTCAGGAGGAAAAAGGAAACACAGCAGGGAGTGATAGGACACCTAAACAAAATGCAGGGCATGAACCACAGTGCTAACTACTAATGCCGACTTTATTGCTCTCTAAAACAGGTCTGCTATCCGTCCGCATCTAATATTGCTTTGGCACATAAGGGCAGAGATGCTGTCTGTGACGTCAGCAGCATCTGACTGAACGGCCATATTTGACATGGTTTATTTTTCTTTGGTAGTTTTGACACCAGAATCCCAGAACATCTCAAACCATCACAGCTCGTCTCAAAGCCACTGGCCTTCATAAACAATATAATATGAAAACATAAACTTTACTGAGCTTCCGTTCAATCTCTAATAAGGAAACATGGAGATTATTAATAGCTAAATTTATGAGGTATGTTGGAATTATCTTTTCAAGACAAGATGCTCCATTACCAATAAGTAATGAGTAATTTAGCTACGGCGAACATCCTTTATATAAGAAATAGAAATAAATCTCAAAAATACAGTAACCTAACAAAAGCAACATATTTTATAACTTAAATATGAATCAAGTAAACAGTATAATCTATGAAAAATGCAAGATTTTATACATGCGTTCTGTTTGTTTTCCATATGAAATCCAGGTTTGGAAATCAAGGTAATCAATGAGCCCACCTACCCAGCAAGCCTGCCACCTCATAGGCTTTCTTTTGCTCAATGGTCTCGTAGTTCAAAGCTTCAAAGAACACATCCAACACCAAGATGTTGTCTCTGTAAAAGGTAACAGAAGGTTTATTTATTTTTCCTAATAAAACCCCACTTCAGGTAAAAACTTCAGTTAATAATAGTTCATTTATTTCAAGAGTGACTAGAGGAAAAACAACTTGCTTGCTACCTTAATTCAGCTTTCAACGATCCCTGTTATCTACAACCTTTATTTAAAGCAAGAACAGAGAAAACGCCAAGTGGTTTGCGCGGGTAATTCGCAAGGAGAAACTGCTTAACCTCTTTACAGGCAGAGTTTGGTTTTCTCCTTTTTTTGTCTGTCTCCCCTTCAAATGATCAATTCATAGACACAGTAAGCTCAGCTCCTTTTTTATTCAGTTGTAAAATGTCATGTTGCATATGTTTACGAGTAAACAAAGTGAACAGTTCTAATTAATCAACAAAAGCACATTAGTACTCATTGAACTGGGTTTAATTAAGGTTAAAGATAACAATAATTATAAACTGTACCACAGGATCAGTTATAAGTGTAGGAATTTTGTATCTGCAAGCCATCATGCTTTAAAAGAAGTTTGTGTGTTTATTTTTTTTCTCCGAAAAACTCGTCCTGCACGATCAGTAGTGTTGAGCAACCAAACTTGGCTAACAAAGAACACCCCAGGTCTCTGAAGGTTCTCATCTATATTAGACATTATGGTTGCATCATGCTGCCTTGCACCAAATGGCATGTTTTCATTGTTCACAAACCCATAACAACTGACATTATTTTCATTTTATGATAATAACATCTAATTTATATTCACAAATCCTCAGTTATGCACAACATATTCTGAAATCATCAGGTTGCTTGGCAACCACCTACCAATGGACTAAAATTATCTGATTTTTTTTTTTTTGCCTTCATGCACTTCCAGCTACTTATCACACCTTATTCTGTCAACATCTGCAAAAGCTGAATTATACACTATAACATCATCATGTTGCCTAACAACACCATGCTAATGGGCTACAATGGCCTATGTTTTGTGTCTATAACACCTTATACATGCATAGTGTCATTTCCAACAGCAATAACAGGACAAACTGTAGCATTGTTATGTAGTAATTACTATAATATAGCAGATACAGAATGATAAGGAGCGTTATCTACTCACGTGATGTACTTCTCTGACTTGTTGAACTTTTTCTGCAGGTAGCGGGCTGAAGTCTTGCTGGGGATTTTGACCATGGATAACTCTTTGTTGTAGCGGGTCATGTTGCATGGCGTCCTGCACATGCAGTTACTGCTTTCCACAGCAGACAGTTTAGCTTCATAAAGATGTGGTTATGGAGATGGGGGGGAGCGTATTTAAATTTGAAATTTAAAAAAAAAGGAACAGAATGACAGAGGATGGGATGAGCATGATTGACACAAGAAAAAAACGTTAGATTCCAATTCCAATCCAGACATCGTCAGAAATCCAATCTAAAGGCAGCAAATGGACCAAACTGGCTCATATCTACCTGAACAGTGTTTTCATAAAGAGTTTCATAAAGTATTGATTGTGGGTGTGAGGCTCCTGATGTGTTTTTGAATATTAAACTGACAATCTCCGCATTTTTTTAAGCCCTTCATCCCACAGGCATTTCATATCAAACTGGCAAAAACGACTCATCCCATTTATTTAAAGAACCTTTGCCCAGACCGAAGTGGTGTAATAATAAATTTCAATAAAAATGTCCAGGAAGTGAGTCATCTGCACAAAGCGGTCGATATATTAATCTAATATTGTATGAGAAAATCAACTCACCGTTGAGACTACAGAATATATATCTCTTATTACAAGATATAATAAAAGACTAAAATAATGTCTATACTATAGGAATTGTCCCCTGGGATTGCAAACCCTTTTCTTTGCCCTGCTCAGAGGATAGTGCTTTCTGGGATTTTTAGTGGAGCTTACTGTCCTTTCTCAGTTATCTAATGGTGAGTGGCCACAAAAGTTCATAAAAGCCGTTTGCTTATATTAAGGTATAGAGCAGTAACTGACTGCAAATACATCTAGACTTGGGCCCAAATGCTTTTTTAAACCACTGAGAGCGAGAATAGTGGACAGTGAACAGCATAGAGAACGAAGAGTGAGAGCAGCATTTGTGCAGACAAACAATGAATCAGAGAAATAAACTAGTTTGCTTGTTTCACTAAAGTGATGTTCTGAAGGACAAAACCCACCCACACCTCCACATAACCCCATTTTTGTGTATGAAGTTTAAGCTTATCCAGTCCACAGTAGTCACTCTGCTCTCAATTGTGTGTGCACTGTAGAAGCACCAAAAACAGCAGTTCCCTGAGTGTCCAGCTGAAGCTCCAGAACTCAATTCCTGATGTTAAGATGCTTAAAATGCTCAAAATGATGTTTAATGTCACAGAAGAAGAAGAAGAAGAAAAAAAAACATGGTTACAACCTAATACAAAAACAGTTTTGGTCTCTGCCTCTTCATAGGAACATACAGAGTGATTTTGAAACTCACCCTTTTTAACCCTTTTAAACTTAATGCCAACTCAGGGAGCTGTAGCTGATATCCATCTTTAAGACACTAAACTGGATCTCTAACTTGTGCTTGTGGTTTTGAAGCCTTTTCTGGATGATTATCTGGATATCTGGCTGTATTGTATTTGGAAGTATTGTATTTATAGTACTTTTTTTTTACTTTGATACTTAGTAGTTGGCAGGATCTGTATCTACACGATGCACCCACATTGTTCACTGATGTAGCCTGCTAACCCGACATTCTAATGTTAACTGATAAATTCACCCTTTCATTTAAATGTGGTCACTTCTGACTACACATTATTGAGGTACTGATACACATTTTTACTTTTTTAATAGTTACTATAGTTTCCAACTGCAAACCAACACAATTATTTGACTGACGACTTTTACTATTCTTTCCTTGCTCGTCTGGCATTATTATAACTAAAATTAGAGGTCACACGTGCTGTACGTACAAACACCGGCATAGAAATCAGCATAAACGCCTGCCCACATTTTAAAAGTTCTATTGTGTTATGTGGATGTTTACTCAATCAAGCCCTAATGAAAGTGAATGTCATAATTAGTGTCACAGAGAAGAAATTATAAAGCATCAAACATAACCATGTGCTCTGTGATACACCCTTTACCCTGACGGAGACAAAGTCCTGATGCAGAAACATCAAGCTCTACTCAAGCTTCTGCTTTGGCAGACTCGGAGGAAAAAGTACTTAAATACACCGAATGAGTTTGTGTGAAGTTCACAGCCTCCTATATAACACCAACTCTCTCAAGAGTGATGGTAATATCAAGCAATGTTTTTTCAAATAAAAGGTTCTCGGGTACTGAGACTGCTCACCCATCAATCTCTTAAAGTCAGATTTTCTAAAAATTGTTTAAGCTCATTGAATTTTGCCAGAGATTATGGAGCTCTTGTTCCCACAATGAAAAAACTTCTCTTTTCAGAGCTAAAAATCGTGGGAGTTAAAAAAAAACTGTCAGAATGGAAAAGAAAGCAGAAGTTAACATAATCAGACCTTTTTTCTGACCAAGGCAGCGCTGTGGCAGGCCCGCAGATCACAGAGCAGGAGGCAGATATTCCCCACGGTGCACTAATAGCTGGCGGGACCACACAGTCACGTAATTGCAAGAGGAAATTCAATATGGCTTCACAGTGGTCTCTTATTCTTATTCAAATGAGACGTTATTGGATACATGAGAGCAAGGCCTCATGCATTTGAATGATTGATTTCTTTGTCTAAGCCTATAACCTTTGTCCAGCTTCTCCACTCTTTTTCTCATGCACATTTTAATCTAAAACATGAAATTACATTTCCTTCTGATAAATTTCATAATTTTCATAATGCTAGCATTAACAGCTAGTTATACATTACCTGACAAAAACTACGAACATGCTGCTTTATGAAGCAGCTACATGAGAAACTGAAGACCATTTCTGCCTGGATTTATAGTTTTAAGCCATCTACATTTCCTCAAAAGCAAAGATAAGCAAGTTGTTCACAGACAGCAGATGCAACTGTCTCCTATTAAAATATATTTTCAAGGCTACTTCAGGACTTGAGTGACGCAGTTATATGGGTAAAGAAACCCAATCAAACTCTGCTGTGTGAAATCTCCTGTGGTGGGTATAGCAAATTGGCAGTTGGACTTTAAACTTGAATTCATTTGCATTCAATGATCCAAGCTGAGTAAGTGAGTGTGTTGGAATTATGAAAGCCTCACTGTTCCAAAAATGAAGCCAATTACAGAAGAGAGAGTAAAAGAGCTGTCTGGAATATGCACCTAAGCCTTGTGCACTCCATGATCGTACCATGTAACTTGTGCTTTCGAGTGCATGCTAACAAAATATGGGCGAGTTGCACCGAGGGCTCTCGTGGTGTGGGAGTGCTGTGGCTTGGTGCTGATTGCCTCAAAGTTTGGTTGGACTGTTTTGTCTATTCCTTGCTTGCCAGAAATAATTTATGATGAGATGAGAAAAGGTGGGGGCTGAGCAGGGAGAAAGCTGTAGGATGAGAGCAAGTATTGCTGATGAACTCCCACTGGCCAGCAGTTGAGGTTGATAAAGGTCATCATTACTCATTGTGCTTCTGAATCTAGTTAATATTCAGTGTATCTATGAACTCGCTCAGTGTTTATGCGCTTTTGTTTACCATAAAAATATATTAGATTTGAATTAACATGGCTATCAGTGGCTTTGGTTAACAGTTTCAGGTGTGCCATGATGTCTTAATTACTAGTCTTTCCCCCCCAGTAACAGTGGAAATGTCTTGCATTGCAAAGGTCTTTGAGTCTTTAAACTGCAGTGGGACAGCGGAAAACCAAGCCAGACATGATGTGCATCAAAGTCACAATTCTTATTGTGTTTGTTCTGTTTCTCAGTTCCTTTCAAGAGGAACTTTTAGCCACATTCCCACTTCCTACATTTTTTGTTTTCCCACTGGTCCGCGTTCAACGGGGCACATCCAAAACTCATAACTTTTTTTGCTACGGTTCACAGGTTGAACAGCACATAGACAGTGGTGAGCTATAGGTTTTTCTGTGGCATTTTTGCTTGCCGTTCAGTGGGGATGTCAGAAGCGTTAAACTATTAGCAGAAAGATGCTCATAAATCCCTGGCGTATAAAAAAAGGCGGCGCACATAATGAATGAGCTGCCATAGGTGCAACCTTGGGTAACATACCAGGGCACCACCATTTTTTTTTTTTTTTTTAAAAAAGAAAAAAAAGAACATGCTGCTGTGTGTCTTGATTTCCCTGCAGCCCTCCACTGACCTGTTTACTCATTTTCTAAGCATCTATTCAGGTCTATGTTTACCTTCTCGGGGCTACACCGTTGCTGTCCTTCATGCTATTTATTCTTGCAACCTAGCCTCCATCATTGTTATCATTTCTTCTGTATGTAGTTCCAGCATAGAGAGCTCCAAACACCAACCTTTTTTATGCATTTTCAAAAAGAAGACACATTGAAAAGGTGACAGATGATTTTTTTTTCCTAATTAAAAATGGGCTTCTCACCATCACAAGCATTAGATTGTTGTTGTTGTTGCATAGACTATGTTTAGTCAGATGTTGTATAATTGTCCTTCTTTTTTCTTGTCAATGTGTTTACATGCATTTATGCATAAACTCAGAGAAGGCCTTTGCTACTGTATGCGAAAAGATAATTACCAAGTGTCTGTCCTCATCTTCCTTACTGATGCATTCACTCTCTCAGGTACAATGTGGGGACTTAACGTTCAGTGTATAGTTACATTAGCTATGGAGTAGACTTTTTAACAGTGCTGCCAGGTTGGTTAGCTGCTGTAGTTTTATATTCCTTAAAGTTTGGTATTTAGGTGTTGTGCGTGCCTATCAGTGTTTCAATGAACTTGCTACACATAAGCTCCACCTCTAGCCTAAACTGAACTCTAACACTGCAGTCCCTGTCTTGCTAGCACACCCTAACATGACAATCATATATAGGAAACGGGGTGAGAAAACACCTTATGATCTAGCGGGCTTGAAAGGCTATCGCTTTTCAGGATATTTAATCAAGATAAAATCACAAAAAAATCAATACTGCCTGGCTTGTGTGTCAATTTGGTAAGATATCAGACAGATGTATTTGCAGAAGCATTTTCATAGGAAGTCGTTGGATGAGCCTACACTTAATAAAACTGGCAAAGTTAATATAAATCTTGACTCTGAAAAAGTGAGCCAGGCCTGTCAGAACTTTTTACATGGTTGTGTCTTTTAGCTCAATGCAGGAAATATGACGCATTATCTTTCTGACCATCCAGGCATTAAATTGAACTCTTACACTGCAGTCCCTGTCTGCTCTGATGGTGGTTACAGACTTGATGAGCCCTTCACGCACAAGGGGAAATATTAAGATGACTCCTCTTGATTAATTTAAAAACTTCATAAGTGACACATACACTTACAATATAATAGACAGAAACTTTTGACGCCTTAGTGGAAGAGCAGCATTGTGTCTGCAGAGCCTATGTTCTCTTACAAGCAGGATGCGCAGTGTGACGGTGGCAATCAGTTGTTGTCCATGTGTTTTACCACATTACTCTTAACCTGAGCTGTTTCCCATTTAAAATTCTCTCCAGTGTTGCTTACTTTTAAATCAGGTTTAGCATTAAAGCTCTGTGTCAACAGAAAAAATAATCCTAATCCTTTGCTGAGGCAAAAATTATATGTAAACCAGCATAGGCTACATGTGTATCATCTTGAATCCCAAGTGTGTGTATCCAAACAGACTTACCAAGGGCAGGCTCAGCACAGTCCTTGTACTGTTCAGGTGTGCAGTACGAAGCATCTCCTAGGAGCAGTTTAAATAAGACACATTAGAAGAGGTGTTGACCCAGTGGTGTTTAAACATTAAGTTCTTGAAACCCTCGCACCATAAACACATAGATAAATGAATCAATCTGCAAGGCACAGCACCTTTTCCCCTGCCAGACACATAATCCCAGGGCTTTTTAAATGCCAATACCTGATCCAGCATTGACTTATCATATCATTATGAGGCCTCTCAATGGAGTTAAATCTCATAAAACCGTGCTGAAAACTCTTGCTGATGAATTCGTGCTCAATACCACATCACCTCTACTTTGATGTTTTTCTGCCCAGTCCTGTCAGAACAGCAGGGGAGCTTACCAGGCATGTGCACCATCCTGCAGTTGCAATTCTCCACTATGTAGCGTGTTTCACAGTCGATCCTGCAGGCAGTTACACTGTAGACCTGGAAAAAGCCAGACTCCAGAGCTTTCGACTCACACTCGCCCCATGGGGGAGGCAGGTAGGTCAGCTACAGGTAAGAAATAAAGTGGAGGTTGGTTAAGGATGGATGTCTTTGGAGGCCTGTGGTATTACATAGTAATAATACATATAATGATGTAGACCAAGAACTAAGAAAGAAAAGGACCTACACCTATTTATAGATTTTTATTGACATTTCTATTGTGCCTGTATGCATCATCAGTTTGAAAATATTCAAGATTTTTATGCTATTTTTTTTCAAAGACACTTTTCAAAACCTGCAGATACTCAACAACCATCCACAACGCGGTCTGATAGTGACAGCAGCTCTACAAAACACCTTCCTCGGCTGCTGAAATCTAGCCAAGTCGGAAAAGCAGAAGAGCCTCGCAAAAAACCAGGCGGTGCAGAAAACAATTCAACAGATAGAGTCTGTCTGGGAAAAAACCCCCACATCACCCAAACATGGGAGCACAACAACTCCAAATGTTCTCCTCCTGCTCCTGCAGCTCTGAGGACTGGGACAACAGATGAGAAACGAGGGACACCGGGCTGAGCAGCGTGGAGGCCCATCTGCTCCACAACAGAGGCAGTGAGGTCCAGCCGTGCACTGTATCCATCACTCACCACCCTCTGCTCCTTAGTTCCCTTCATTGTCATCACAGCGCATCCCAAGAGAAGCAACGTGCTCTGCCAAAAGACCACTTTTTTTTTTTTTGGATGAGACAAAATGCTACTGCCTGCCAGGTGAAATTTGGCCACAGTCTGCTTGTTAGCGGTGACAGAATTTAAAAACTCTGCCTTGCTATCAGGTAATGTTGTATCTCTGCTTCCAGACAGACCTAATTCTGTATTTCTTGGAGATACAATCATTTTACCAGCAATTAGAACAATAAATTCAAAGACAATCCAAACAACAATCTACCATGTTGAATGTTTCATAGCCCAGAAGCCTCTAGCCATTTCTGGGCAGGTAAGAATGTCTCCTGCGATAATTAAACATGTCCTGCATGATGGCTGGAGGAAGCGTGAGCAATGACTACAAACACCCAGGCATTATTAATTTGTTAGAGATTTACAAAAGGTGCCCCTCATCCTTAACCTTTAAAACCACCTTCACACCTCAGCTAATCTTCACTTCTGGCCTAATTAGAGTCAGCTGAGGCTGATTCAAAATCTGATTATTTCTAGTAATCACATAATCTAAGGTGCTCAATATCACTTTTCACTGCGTTGAGACCTGCTGACCTGATTATGTTTCATCTAATAAGAGCTGAGGCCTGCGCCCCAGTCAAAGTGTTATTAATCAATGTTCCATTCCCCTTGTTATACCCCAGCAATGCAATTAGGCTTTACAACTTAGTCAGCAAAGAAAAAAAAAGTTTACAACAGGGTGGGCTACAATAAATTAGTGCCGGTTGAGTGAGCTGAAAAGCAAATTTGAGAGTTGTGGCTTAAGCCTGACCTCAACAAATCAGAAGCAAGTTCCAAAATTTGCACTTATCCATGTTATTTTTCTTAATTCTAATGCTACCACGGCAAACTGCAGCATAATGACTTTGAGCAATGGAATAATAGTATAATGAAATATTTTTTTTTATCCTTGGGAAGAATGACTCTGACAATGAAGGGGACGCCATGCCCTTTTAGCTTCAGCTAAAAGCCCACAGTAGGGCGATTTCTGCATCCAGGGAGCTTAAACTTGAAATTGCCCTGCTCCATATGAGGGCTCATTCATCCCTCACCATAGGCTATGTATTTTGTGCCTCAGCACACTTGATTAAAGCTGCTTTGATCTCTGCCTAATATTATTAACCAAAAATGAGTTCATTTATAGTCTTTGTCAGTCATTTTAACATGAAAACTGATTGGTATCCATTGCAAAGATTCACTAATCACCAAGCTTCTTAACATCCTCCACAAGGCCTCATTCCAAATCATTGTCCCAAATTACCCTACACAATCATCATTATCCTGATTGTTTTGGGACATATTTTAAAATGCCCTCCAGGTTTACGGAGAAAAAGCTTGAAAAGGCAGGTGGGAACTGCTCAAAGTGGTAGGTTTTTCCTCTCAGACTCCTGATACAAAGTGGAGTTCTGTATTAATTAGCTGGAGTGGTGTTTCCCACCGTGCAGGCTTGTGGAGAGGGACAGTGTTTTCGCAGCAGGCAGGCAGGAAGAGCAGGGGCTGTCTTCACCCTGCCAGTCACAGAACTGGGCTGACAGATGAGCTGAGACAGAAGCCCTGGAGGCTCATTGCCCAAGAGGCTGAACCATCCCTGGATAGATCTCCTCCTCTCCTTTCTGCCTCTCACTGAAGTCTCTCTTTGTTGCACCGCAATGAGCTGTGATTTAAAGAGGCAAGGTTTCAACTACATTTTGTTCACGATAAGTTCCTAACATTCACGCTGGAATACCTTACTGACTTATCTTTACTTTGGCCTCATTTTCCAATGTGCTGGGCATTGCTAACATAATTTTGCTGGATTGGAAAATATAACAACAAAACAGAAAACAGCACTACAAGTCCTGTCTCCGATATATTTAGACCATTGTTTCTTTTTTACTTTTCTGCATTACCATCGTGGCATATTTCACACACCTGAGTATACTGTCACTGTCCAGTCTACTCAGTTATAAGACAGCAAGACATATTGTATAGATATGACATCTAGAGGCTGTGTGCACATGCACATATAATGTATCTTTGTAAAATGTGCTTTAAATATGTTCTTTTCCAATCTTAAGTATTTTTGGTGCCTAAATGATATCAAGTTCAACAGATGAGCCCCGAGCTTGTAAGGCACAGAGAAGTCAAGTGCTTTAAACATCCTCCTCTCTTCTAGCCACTCTTCGTGTTTCTGTGTGTGTGTGTGTGTGTGTCAGCATGTGTGGAATCACACTGCTGATAGTTATTTCCTTTCCCATGATGTGATAACCACCTAGACGGGAGAGGAGGTAACATACTGACAGCATGCAAGGGATTGATAACAACCATCCAATTTCCTCATAAGATTTGAAACTAGAAACATCCCAGACAGTGATGATACAAACCAAAAAATACACAAAAAGTAGAACAACATGTTTACGACCAGCATCTTCAATGATGAATGCCGACGCTTCACTGGCTGATGAGCTGAACACGTTTTACGCTCGCTTCGACGCCGCAGCAATTAAAACAACAAACGGCTGCGCGCGCTCGGAGTGCACCAGTGGAGACAATGCATTCATCATCACAGAGGAACACTTTCAGGGGGGTGAACACCAGGAAGGCAACAGGAGCAGATGCAATCCCTGGCCGTTTCCTGAGAGCCTGCGCTGACCAGCTAGCATTGGTGTTCACGGAGATCTTCAACCTCTCCCTGGCCCAAGCAGTGGTTCCCACGTGCTTCAAACAGTCCATTGTTGTTCCTGTTCCAAAGAAACAACAGCCTGCTTGCCACAATGACTACTGTCCAGTAGCACTGACTTCAATTGTGATGAAGTGTTTTGAAAGACTGATGAGAGATCACATCACTTCTTCACTTCCTGCCACCATCGACTCACTTCAGTTTGCTTACCGGACTAATCGTTCCACAGACGATGCCATATCTCACCTGCTCCACACATCCCTGAGTCACCTGGACACTGGCAGAGGGAATTATGTTAGGATGCTGTTCGTGGACTACAGTTCAGCATTCAACACAATAATTCCCTCTAAGCTTTTCACCAAGTTGACGGATCTAGGACTCAGCTTATCACTGTGTCAGTGGATCCTCAACTTCCTCACAGACCGACTCCAATCAGTGAGGGTGGGAAAACAAGTCTCCCCCTCCATCTCACTCACCACTCACCACTGGCACGCCAGTGGAGAGAGTGGACAGTTTCCGATACCTGGGTGTCCACATCACTCAGGACCTGTCATGGTCCTGTCACATTAACACCCTGGTTAAGAAAGCCCGTCAGCGTCTCTTCTTCCTCAGAAGACTTAGAGACTTCCATCTGCCACTGAAGGTGCTCAAGAACTTTTACTCCTGCACCATCGAGAGCATCCTGACGGGAAACATCTGCACCTGGTTTGGGAACAGCACCAAGCAGGACAGACGAGATCTGCAAAGGGTGGTGCGCTCGGCCAAACGCATCATTCAATCAGAGCTCCCTGACCTGCTGTCCATCTACACCAAGCGGTGCAAGACCAAAGCTAGGAAGATTATGATGGACCTCTCCCATCCCAACAATGGACTCTTCTCACTGTTGAGGTCTGGGAAGCGCCTCCGCTCCCTTAAGGCCAAAACAGAGAGAATGAGGAGGAGCTTCTTCCCCCAGGCTATTCAGGCCCTGAACCAGGTGTAGGACTGGACTCTCCCACACACATCACATCACTATAAGACTGGACTCTCACACACATCACATCACCACACGCACTCTGTATTTTCTTCATGCACACTCCCTATAATTTATCATCTCTTTCTGCTATTTGCACATTTTTACTGTAAATTTCTAAGTTAAATCTGTAAATTTTGTAATAACCTGTAAATTGTAAATACTGTAAAACCACTGTCATTTAATGGTCGGGCATTGCATTGCACAGCTACAGGCATTTCACCTCATGTCATACTGTGTATGGTTGTGTGTGTGACAAATAAAATTTGAATTTGAACCTACTGCGTCAAAAAGAGATATCAAAGGTTCCTGTCTATGAGCCACTATGTGATAAGTTGGGGGTGAGAACTGGCTGCTAATAGAGAAGCAGCAGATAAACTTGGAACAAAAAGTTAGGTTAAGTTTAGGTTATGTTTAGTCGATTATTTCTTTGTTGTAACAATGCTGCTTGGCAGTAAATCCAACACTGATTTCCAGAAATGTTCCTGAGCCCTTACAGGGATTTCCATGACAGAAGCATTTCTGTTTTTACTGTAGAGCTGCTTGAGGCCCCAAAGATAACAATACGGATTATTTAGCAGATCCCTCACACAGAGATTTCTCCGGATTCACAGAATATTGTGATGATTAGATAATGAGATGTTTCACAATTTTTCACTGAAGAACCTTATTCTGAAACTATTCTCTGATTTATAAACAATGTTTTGTTGCAAACAGGTCTGTTCATCTTTACTTCTGAGAAATTCTGCCTTTCGAAGATGTTCTTTTTATATCAGCCTCTTGCCAATTAACCTAACGGGTTAGAAAATGTTCCTCCAGCTGTTTCCTTTTCCACTTGCCTTTCCAGTCATTTGTTGTCCTGACTTTTTCGTGATGTGTTGTTGCCATCAAACTCAATATATTTAGCATAAAATAGTGCAATGTGTTAATTTAAATAATTGATATGTTTTCTCTTTTGTTTGTGAAGAGAACATGGGTTTGTGACATTCCTAAATCACTGCATTATAACTGTATTTAGATTTTGAATCAGTCTTCTTGAAATTAGGATTGTAGGTCTGAATTTTACCAGCTATTTAAGCACTAAGGGAACCAATTATGACTTTCAGCAGCTACTTTGAATAAAAGATTCAAATTTAAGTGTAACTTGATCTGGTTAACCATCATTTTGACTCAGTTTTGTGGATATTTAAAGCCAATTTCCTTTTGTTGGCTTGATTTTCTGGTCCAGTGGGGTTTTTTTGTTCATTATATGGTTTATCTAGTATCCAATGGCCTTGATTGGCCAAAATAAAATCTGTTTTTGTGTGTGCTGTAAACCTTAAACTTTAAATGCACTAACTGACAGCAGCAGTTTTCAAAAGATATTTCGTTTCTCATGCCAGATGCACAGGCCATTCTAAAAATGAGATGGCAATGAATTTATCTTGACAGAAATCTGCCTTCTCAAAAAAGGGCAATCTAGTCAACTCCTGCTATTGAGCCAGACAATATATTTCTAAAAGCCTCACTGTGAGAGAGGAAAGGAGAAGGAGGTAGGCAGAAAGAAAAAGAAATAAGACATAGAGCCACAAAAGGTAAATGTGAAAGACAGAACTAATAATCTCAGTAAACTGACAAGGCTCACAGGAGCTAAAGTAGAAATATATTCACTCTGGCAGTGTAGAAACACCTTTTGTGGAGTTTTATCAACTCAGGCCTCAAGAAAACAGAAAAAACCCAACTTTATGAAGAAGAGAATGGTGACACTGAAAATGCTATTTACATCATATACAACTGCTGTGCCTGTGAGTCTTGCAGCCTTTAAAACTGGCCATGTGTGATGTGAGAAAGCTTCAGTGTGATTGAATAAGGCTGAGACTGAGTGAAGATCCTCTCTTCCAAAAAGGTCAAAGCCAGTAAATGGAGGGAAGTTCATCATTTGTCTGCCAACAATCATCAAGAGACCACAGAGGCCAATTGAAAGTTCAGACTACGGGGACCCACATGGGCTTCCACACAAATCCACTCACACGCCTGCAGAAAATCTCACAGTCCTGTTATGGCAGGTTATTTATCACATACTTTTTTGTCCCATTTATCACTGTGAGATATGCTTTATATGTGAAAAAGGAGTGAAAAACTGCACAAAGAAGAGAGAAGATTTTAACTAACCATTAACTGTAGTTAGAGAGTGAGAGACACCTACCCTCTGCTCCTGTGTTGCTACAAATGTCTGGAAGCCAGGCGCCACACCGAAGCCCAGTTCGTGAATGAATGGAGGCTCTGCCTGGCTGTGGATTTGTACCCGCACACCTGCCTCAAAGGCTGTATCTTCTGGAAGAAAAGAAATGGCGAGATCTGTTAGTTAATGTGATCTCTTAATAAACAGAAATTTGCTCTGAATGTCGCTGGCTTTCTGAGTGGTTCAGGTAAGTTGTTTGAAAGCTGTTTGAACTCAAAAGCAAAATTAATGTTGGAAACAATGATTCAGTGACGCATTTCAGGGATTTTGAGTCAAAGCCATAGACGTTTGATTGCCTTTATTATAATAAACACGCTTGAGAGGTGCTATGTGATTTGTTGTGACATCATAGAGACAGTAAAACAGGTTCAGTGCTGACTCCGTAGCTGAAAGGACTATTATCCTTTTATTCAGAGCACTTGTATGCACTCACACACACACTCACAGAAGCAAGCACCAAAAGGGCCATAATATTTATGGTCAAAGAGAGAGCGATTTTTGCAGAAATCGATAATGTTCTCTCTCCGTGTCCTCACATTCAGCCGCCTGCTCCTGGACATTCAATCACGGCATTCCCCTGCCAGCTGATCAGCCTGACACCTCGGGGTGCTCGGCAGCCAAGATACTGGAGTCGTTCGCAAATCGACATACTGCTCACACAGATGCACAACGGCATCAGCCCGCACTGATCCACTCATCAATCAAACATCTGCAGTGACTGATATGACGACGGCGTGGATGCAGTCACGTTTAGCATCAGATGAAGGGCTCAAATATGCTTTTTTTCCTGCTCTGTGTTTGAGAGCATCAGTTGTGTGTAAAAGGGTATGAAAGAAACATTGGCTGTATGAGAGAGATAATCAGTCCACGTTTCTGAGAGAGTAAGTACAGGGAGGTGTGTGCATGTAAAACAAGATGAGAGATGCTGACACTGTATTCATGTGTGGGGGAGGAATTGTTGTTGTTCTTCATCCTGTGCACTGTTGAATCTTTCACGTCTTTTGAATAGATCATCTCTTTTGTGATGACAGCCTTATCTGTAGCTAACAAATTTAATGTCTCATCAAAATTTCCACTGGACTAGGGTGATTTACATGCAACTGCAGCACAACATCTGTGCATGTTGTAAATACCATATGGTCAAAAGTATGTGGGGACATGAGCACAGAGGACGCTGCTGAGATTTGCTTGCATTAGAATACAAAAACATTGACATGGTTTGCAGCTGGTCTCGCTTGCAGTTGCTGTTTCAAGGGTTCTGACCTGAACGATTAAAAGTATAGTGTCAATCAAAAGGTGTATCTGGAGTTTTGGGGATTTTTTCCCCCCTCTGATGCTTGATCCAAATTTGGCATATCATTGAACACGAATTCAGTTTGACGATGGTTTCATCTGCTCAAGGAGGGAAACTGCAGGGCTTAATTTTAATCTTCGGTTTGGCATGTTGACAACTTGACAGCCTAGTGTGATCTAATAGGAAACACAAACATGTGTAATGTGAAAACTCGAAGCCTCCCCTGCACATATACTAAGATTGGACTATTCAGTGATGCGAGAAATCTCGTCTGTCTAGTTACATTTTTTTTAATGAGCATCTCTATCATAGATTCACCATTTTTCAGCTAGTTGATATTACTTTACATAATTTTAACTATTTTTTCACCCCACTGCTTAAGAACATGTCACAGAACAATAATTATTCAGTGTAGCATATTTGTCTTTATATGGTTATTTATAGTGGGACTTGTTAAAAGAGAAACACAATACCCAGCTATGTCTTTTTTTATACTATTACTGTTATAATGCTGTAACAAATGCCCCATTAGCACTGTAAGACTGCACATAATTAGCCACTGTTGTCCAAAGACGATTAAAAACCATTAAAGAGCCCTTCTGTTGTACTGGATGACATAATCCTTCATTAAAATGAGCACTTAACAGTGTAAACAAAGAATTTCATCCCTGAGCTACTGACACTAACTATGCTGGCTGTTTTATTTAATAAAGGAGTATGTCACCCTGTGAGACTGTGTGCTGTCTAATGTCTTTTAATCGTATATATATGACAAAACTGTATTTATATGAGTAGCAAATAAACAAAGGCTGTCAGCATAAACAATACATGTAACTGCAGCATATATTCTCTGCTAGTTTTTATTTTGCCAAGGGACATTTAACAAGTTTTTACATTGTATTTCTGCAAGCAGTAGCTCAATAATATTTTTTTTTCCAGGTTCCCCTAATTTTGCATAAAATGGGTAAACTTTTATATTCATGAAATATTTCAAAATTAAATATTTCAAAATATTTCAATTGTTTGTTTTACTTCATTTTTCTTTTTGTGGGCTACAGTCATGAGGAAAATAAAGTTTCCATAGGGTTCTATACAGTGCCGTGAAAAACTAAATATAATGTTACTCCTCCCACAGCAATTAAGGGGATAAGTGACAGTCAGGTGCTGCTAATGAAATGTACTTGATTAATTGATCAACAGCAAGTGTGAGCACCTCTACAAAACGTGATCAACTCAGTGTTTTTTCTTTTGTGCCTGGAAAGACAAAATTGGCCAGCAGGCTAGGTTGTCCACGAAACCAATACGTCGCTGTGAGTGCCGTAGGGTTTCCATCTTGTTCAACGATGGACTCGCACATTAGACACCGTTGTTTAAGATCATTCAATTTGCTTGATCCGAGTCTTCTTGGGCGTGTCATGCTTGATTCTCCAGTGGGCGGGCCGCTGCTGCAGCAGAAGGCGATATGGCAGGCGATAGTTGCTTGCATGCGGCAGATGTGGCCAAACCATTGTAGTCGTCACTTCTGGACCAGCTCTTCCATCGAGGGCTTTTGGTGACATTGACTACATATTGCACTGTCGCTGAGACGGTCATTGAGGGACACTTGGAGAATCTGACACCAACAACGCATTTGGAAGACCTCGAGCTTGTTGAGGTCATGCTTGAGGATGACCCAGGTCTCGAATCTATGGAGAAGAATGAGCAATACCAGTGTGCATGACAGGCAGATTTTGGTGATGAGGCCTCTTCTTCCAGAGGCGCCATCGGAGGGAGGCGAATGCTGCTGCTGCTTGACCAATTCTTGAGGGTAACTCAGTGTTACCTCAATGCAACACACAGCTGAATGTACCTCAAAGAACTTAGGCAACATTGTAAATAAATTGGGCCAAAATTCCTACAAAATAATGTGAGACACATAAAGTCATAGTGAAAGTCATTATTTCTGTCCTATTTACAGGACTGCATAGCTCACATCATGTTTCCTAAGATTAATTAAAAAGTTTTTATTTTTGTCCAGTGTTTGGAAATATGTTCATTTATACGTTCGAAGACTGAGTAGGGCTCCTTTGTTAAAAATCATTCCATGCAGTGGAATGGAGGAGATCAGCTTACTCATCTCCCTCTTAACAATAGTTCAGGTCAGGTGAGTTGGCTGGCCAATAAAACACAGTTATAATGTGGTCAGTATAGTAGTGGTAGTTTTGGTACTTGGGGCAGGGGATAAGTCTTGCTGGAAAATCTGCACCTCTCAAAAGCTTGTCAGCAGATGGAAGCATGAAGAGCCACAGTTAGAGGGCCAAGTTGATTTTGGACTGGATAAAATCTAGTGGACCAACCACTGCCAACATCAGGAAATGGCATGGCACCGAAAATCATCACAAACTGTGGAAACTTCACACTGGACTTCAATTACCCCTGATTCAGGGCCTCTCCACTCTTCCTCCAGACTCTAGGATATTGATTGCTAAATGAAATGCTAAGTTTACTTTCATCTGAAAAGAGGACAGTGGACCACTGAGCAACAGTCCGGCTCTTTTTCTTCTTAGTTCAAGTAAGACACTTTTGATGCCATCTCTGGTTCAGGAGTCCCTTGATATTAAGAATGCGACAGATGTAGCCCCTTTCCTGAAGACGCTGGTATGTGATGGCTCTTGATTCACTGACACCAGCTGCAGTCCACAGCATGTTAAGCTCTCCCAAGTTCTTGAACTGACTTTTAAATATTTTCATTTTTCTCTTCCAGTCAAGTTTTCGTTCTCTGTGAACAGCCACCCTTTTCAGCAATGACCTTCTGTGGCTCATCCTCTTGATGGAGGGTGTTGTCCTCTCGAAAACTGTCAAGTCAGCCTCAATCTTCCTCAAGAATGAGGCCGTCTCTCCATATCAGAGTTATAAAACAGTCTACTTGATGATGATTTTTCTGCTTTTCTGAAGAGCAGAAACTGCAGCATGTCACCCTATTTTACCCAAATCTGCAAATTTCCAGGCAGACAAGACCCGATCATTCACTGAGATCAGTAGCAGACTTTCACATTTGACAGCTAATAAATATGAGAAAACGACCTGGCTCTCTGTGAATGATGGTCATGTTCGGGTTGATCTTTTTACACGGGAGTGTGTCTGCTCCTCTCTTAGTAGCCCATCGCAGCAGCTGCACCATCAGGCGAAGCTAACAAACTGTGTGCATAATTTCTTCCGAGATTCCCTTCAAATCAAAAGTCTCTACAGGATGTCACAGACAGCAGTTCTAGTACTCACCAGGTAGCTCGCCTTTCCAGAGTATTCACATATCAACTATCAATTTTATTTTATTCCAACAGGGGATTAAAATGTTATTTTAGCAGAAGCAGACACATATATAGCTCAGAATCAAGCCATGGCAGTATTTTTATTAGCAATTAACCACGATTTTTAAGTTAACGTGTTGGTCTATAAAATGTGGAAAGAGCTAATCATCATACTTGTGCTGATTTGTGTTTTCATGACAAAAAAAAGACATTAACTTCCCACATAGCCTACAAAAAGCAGCATATTCACGCAAATGACAAGCTGGAAAAAGCTTGACTTTACATTAGCTTTTATTCACACCCAGTTGTCTTGCATTACATAGCTAATAGAAACAAATCCAGCAGTGAAGAGCAACTGCATAAAGGTAATAAATGATGATAAAGAACACCAAATAAGCTAACCGTCCTGCAAATGAATGTTGCTTAGTTGTAAGACACTAGAATCAGACTGTTCGAGACCTTTATCTCTCATAACAAGACATCAATTTACACAGAACAAGATGCAGCACAT